CGGGGATATGCGCTATACAAATGCTATCTATTATTATTATTATTATTATTATATGGTATGGCTATACCACCCTGATTATTTTGTCCTACTTTAAGTTGACTTATGAAATCAAAGTATTTCTGAGCTGTATTTTATTAGCAATTCAGATACATGTAGATATGTGTTTGAACACCTGATTTTTATACCTCATATCTCTGTCCTTTTCAGACTGTTCTTGGCTGGACCCCATAAACGTCTTATTGCTGTGGACTGAGCACAAATGTGCTGAGTCTGCATCTACAGTGCTGGATGGAGCCCTGCAATCAACACCGGCTGCAGTCTGTGTCTCATTTCAGCCTATGGAAAACAGGGGGTTCAGAGAGATGGAGTTTTTATGAACTATTGTATTGTAATGGTATATCACAAGTTTCGGTTTCAATGAAGTTTTTTCCTCTTTCATTTTTTCTTTCGAAATTCAAAAAGTTTGGTACTTTTGATACTGTTCATAGCCATGTTCTATAATTCAGGAAACACATTTTGAAATGTTCTATGCTGATGACACAATTATTAGTTTAATTACTTGAGTCTTGATTTATTGAAGTAGAACAGCTTTCTTTCAAAGAGAAAGGTGTTACAACATGACACTTATAGTAACTCAATTGACCTTGTTCCCATTACCTATTATCAATCTGAAGTGAAGATATTTTGAAATTTTTGACTTGAAGAGATGTATTACAAATTGACCTCAATGGGACCAGCCTGTTGTAGTATGTGATATCATGTCAGATTGTACTCAGTGTGTGAGGCTAGAATTCTATAGTGTGAATGGTTTTGTTTTTTCTCTCCCCTTATTTTGGTATTTAGAACTACACAGCTGTGACATTGTGATTAGGTATGGGTGAAAGATTGCAGGTAGGACATAGCCTTCAGGGATTGTGTTCTAAATGCTTCCTCCTCTGTAATTATTGTACTTGCCACGGTTGCATACAACAGCTGGTCGTGTATGTGTTTTGAGGTTCTTTCCTTGTGTCATGTGTATTGATTATAATGTATCCCATACTCTGTGTACTAGTCTAGTAATGAAAGCTTTCAGAAACGTTCTCTTGAATTTCTTGAATAAATAAGTCAACGATTCCTGTATTGTAGGATCAATTTCTGGATGATACAAGCTTATCTGTCACCTTTGATCTGTAGATTTGATGTTAACAGGTTTTATGAGAGTGTTTGTTTGTGGAAATGGTTGACATCATTCTGAATTTCCAGTCTCTTTTTGTCATTACCAGTGTTTTCCACAGATAATGTTTATGTGTATTTAATATCTGGCTTTGTTATGTCTCATTTTGTGTTCTGCCATACAAAAGAAGTCCTGCTCATAGTAAATTTTTATATTTGTATATACTCAATATAAAGGACAGTAGCGTCCACTCTTGTCTGTGCACTGAACAGTGCTTTCAACTCTTCTGTATTCTTTCTAGTGGTGTTGATAGGTAGCCTAGTAGTTAGGCTACCGGACCCATAATCGCGAGATTGTGGGTTCGGGGTTTGAGCCTCAGCTCGGTCCGACATTGTTTTCTTGGGAAAGACACTTTACATGAATTTCCTATTTAGCTCGGTCCTTTCGGAGATGGACGTTAAACTTGGAGGTCCCGCCTCTTAAATAACCTAATAGTGCTGAGAGGGGCGTTAAACCTATACCATATCACCATTTGTCTCTCTCTTGTCTGTCTGAAAAATGTTTCTGATCTCGGTCTTTAGATTTGGCTATTGAAATTACTAGTTAGTCTTATGCTGATGTAGATAACTTCACAGTTGCTGTTTAGTTGGCAGTAGAGGCATAATAAAAACTAGTATTTAAATTTATTAGTTGCAATGACCTGTTTAGAAATATATTTTTTAAAGATCGTTTTCTAGTCCTTTATCACAATGTTTTGAGTACTCAAATTTAGTATCTGCTTCTCTTGTGAACTGGTTTTTCTAGTGTCTGGCTGTGTTATCTTTTCTATAGAGGTATTCTGATTGTAGTGGCATTACAACCAATAGGGTATGGCTTTTTGATGACAAATGTGCCTTACACTTATTTGTGGGACATCATGAGTAATATTATGGAACAAGTTATTTCCCATGTTGCACTAGAACAGTTCATGGTTCTCTATCTATAGTTGCAGGATGATTAGTTATGGTGGATACACATTTCACAGTCTTGCAAAATTGTTTTTTGGACTGCATAATAATATGTCTTGTCGGGCCTGTTATTTTTGTTTTTCTTTATTTTTTTTAGGGGGTTTTTGATTTTACTCTATGTGTGCATCTCCATTGAGTCATTTTGCGAATTACATCAGATACCATAGACAGGCATCCTCAGAATCTGTTCTAAGTGTATATCTTCCTGATCAATACAGTATAATTACACCCACTTATATATAAATAATATACATGTATATGCATGTATATCAGTCCTGTTTGGTTCATTTTTGTGTCAAGTGGTGCAGTTTTGAAAGTCTTCTTTTTTTCAAAGGTTGTTTTATATAATTTTATACTTTTGCTTTCGTGTTTTGTTGTAAATATTTATCCTCTTTGTTTGAGATATTAAGTTTTTTTGGGTGTGGATGACTTCACATGTTTGGCTTTATGTTTTTGAGTGTTCTAGGGCTTCTTGCAATACGTTTTACACTAAACTTGAGTTGTGATGTATACTAGAATTAGGGCATGAAAAAAAAATGAAATTGATACCCATCTTACATACATTTTTATTTTTCTCCTATGCAAGCTTATTTTAGGGAATAAACTTTTAATAACCCATTTTCTGAATTTGTTTCGTTTTTGTCTATGTGAGTGGTTTGCAGATGCTCTGGTTCTTCTTTCTTATAAAAAATCTATCATCTTTATCTCCCCTCCTTCTGTTTTGTATTTGCTACTCTCTTCTTGTAACACCTCTAATCTTCGGCACTTTTTTACCTTATTGTGTTGCAAGTGGCATAAAACTCTTACTGAAACAACATTTTTGTCTATTACTAATTTTTGGGTTTTTTAAAAATTGTTCTCAATAGTAATTAAGCTATTTCCGGTGACTATTGTCTTAATCATCTTCCTAGCAAAACTTGGCTAATAATGGGATTCGCCATAGATCACACCTCAATGGCATGCCTGTTTACTCCAGAAACAACTATTGTTCAATGTTTTGTTTAATGAAAAAATTTCTTTGGTTTTAATAGAGAGGTTAGATTTTTATTGTAGCTTTGCAAGGACACCCCGCGACACCCAGCGGTACAAACGGAAGAAAAAAGTAAGTAAGTTGCAAGGACAAGTTTATTTGAAGAAATTGAAAGGACTGTCCACCATCATTTTCTTTATGCTTACTCTGGGATGGAGGAGGGGAACGCTTCCTTTCATCTTATTCAGAAGTCCCCAATGGGTGGTTGGCGTGTGCTCTCTTGGTGTTTATCAAACATCTATCGTTATTACCTCAAAATAAAATTTAAAAATTTTTAAAAGACTTACGCTTTATCTTACGAGCGTGACGACATTTTCCCATCAGAAAGATGGGGAAGCTCCACAAATTACTGTCGTTGCCTTGTGCAAAGTCAAGGACATGCCTTACGTGTACAATTAAGACAAAAACGCTGCAGTTTCCTGTAGTAGGAGCCTTCAAATGCATCGAGCAATTCGACAAAAGAACGGTCCCTGGAAACAAATATAAGTCAGTAAATCCGAAGTTCTGTCTGAAATGTCCGTACTACGATGAAAAGTCTCTCTTAGGAAATGAACAGTGGACAAGATGGCAAAATTTAGTGTGCAGAGAGAGAGAGAGAGAGAGAGAGAGAGAGAGAGAGAGAGAGAGAGTGAGCAACCAGACAACAGCTTTAACTAAACAGAAATGAAAACTCATTAAACACTATTGAAAGGGCTAAAGACACCGGATAACTACCATGAGCTGCCACACTAGTAGCAAGTGATTATCTCTAGACTTAGAATAAAAAACAACACACGCGGCGCAGACAAAACGTGTATAGATGTTTTCATTAAACCAGTAGTACAATCACCAAAATGCTTGTGTGGAGATGGACCAAACTGTGGAACACATCCTTCAGCAGTGCAAGACAGACCTGAAGGGTGGCCAACCCCGTTGACACCAGAGGAGAAGCTGGACTGGCAAACAGAAGAAATGTTCCGATCAGGTTGGCCCAATATTACTATGATAGATAACGGACTTCACATGTGATGCCATCAAGGAGGAGGAGGAGGAGGATGTACCACATCAACTTTAACCGGTGTTTGGGCTGAACGTTTTGCGCTTGTGAGTTCAGTTACCGTGGTTTTTGCTTTTTGCTTTTTTAAATTTTTTTTTTTTTTTTTTTTTTTGGGGGGGGGTATTTTGGTATCTCCGTCTGTCTTCTGGGACATTATATTATATCCCTCTCATCTAGGGTTGGGCCCGACAGGAGTAAAACGTCTGCAATTTCATTTTGTTTTCATTTAAGCCAACATAAAGTAACCTCTTTTGATTTTGAAATATGTACACAGTTTATGGTATTCTTTTGTGTTGTGGAAATGGTTGACGGACAATCAGATGTGACCCCAACACAATGTTCGATTTTATAAAGGCCACTGGCCTTTACTCAAAACTGCAGTTTTTGCTGTTTAAAATTAAATATAATAATATTGGTGTTTTCCAAACTGGAATTGTATCGAAGCGGACATTGAACAAAATCATGCCATACTGTTAACTGTTGTAAATGCAACCAACTTGTGTTGCTCGGGCTCATGATACTACGACTTTATGTAGTTGCTAGCGCCTTAAAACTCTTTCTAAACCAAACAAATTCTGATGTGATCTGTTTCCTCTACTTCGTGTATCTTATGTCCTAGTCATTTCCCGTTCACTGAGACCCAGTGGAGTAAAGTCCTTCACTTTGCTTGCAGACACATTATGTAGGCCTTATGTTAATTCGAATCAGTGCTTTCGGGTGATAGGGGAATGGGGCGTTACTTGAAGATTCTTTTCTCTCTTTTTTGTCTGTCTGTCTTATCTTTCTTTTGGCCATTATTATGTTTCTTTTTACACAAACGCATATACGCACACGCGAGCGCGCACACATATATATATACAGACGCAATGAATTCGATTTCCATGTGATGGGAATATTTTATGGAAGTATACCCGTCTCTGTTGGGATATTGCACCTTAGGAAGCCTGGTTTTACTCTAGTCAAAGAAGATGGCCTCTTGAAAGATGTTAAGTATCCATGACGGTATACCATTTGCAGTGATTCAATCCTTCGATATTTTTTCAGCCCGTCTGTTTGCACGAGGACCTTATGGTCATGAGTGCTTTTTATTAACGAAAAGTGAAAAGACTAGTCCTGGTTACATCATGAACTTCATGAAGTCGAATGCATTGGTAACTTGAACATAATACGAGCGTACATATTCATAACACTTATTATTCTGAGCAAGTTACAAGAAAAAACTAAATAATATCATTATTCATATTCGTAAACAACTTTTAAAAAAGCACATCTACGTTTAACCTTGGTTTGCAAAGAGAAATTAATAGCACCAAGGCCCTTTTTTATGGGGGGGATGCAATCATTTTGTTCTTCAAAAAGTGTCTAAAGGGAAACAATTCATTTACAATATAAGATGATTGTGTTACCTCCCGTGCGTTTAACAGCCGTTTTGTTGTCTCGTGATCAAACAAAAGTTCATTTTCAAGGATCGGAGGGTTTTTTTTTATTTAACAGACTAAACCATATATTTATTGAACTCAAGAGTAGCTGTTACTACGATTGGCGGTCTTCACACCCGAATATCTTTCAGTTTCTCCTTATACCATATTATTATTTAAAGCTGTCGTCATGTCTGACCAAGCTACAGTTGCCCTTGAATTTATACAGACTAACGACACGGTCTTCTCAAAAGCGGAGCACACAAGTGTAGTGTACTGGATCTGGGCAGATGTGCTGATGAGACGAATGGTTCAACAAAGAGCAAAATACTATAATAACAACCACAAATATTCGGCTATCAAATCATAAAAGGTCCATTTGATGGAAAGGTGGGTATAAGTTTTTGTAAATTGAACTGGATTTTTGCTGTTATTGTACTTTTTTTGGACCCTGCGCAATTCTATCATTTGGCGCTTTTGTGATTAGTAATAACAACAAAGTGCGCTGCATTTTGAATTTTGAAATTAGCTGTTAGTCTTAGAGTAAACATACAGAAGAATGTTTTATGTAATATAAATAGATAAATAAATAAATAAATAAATAAATAAATAAATAAATAAATAAACAAATAATAAATAAATAAATAAATAAATATGTTACTTCACTGTTATAACGTTAATTGCTAAGTTACACATTTGTGTTGGCAAAGCCTTAACTGGAGATGGCTACAACAACTGATTAGTAAGTAATTGTTTAGAGATCATGTTAGTCCTACATTCCTCAGCTCATTCGGGTCACGAGGTGGACACCCTCTTTCCCGCTCCCCAGTGGAGTCATCTTTACAGTGTAAACGACGTATCCAAAAGTTTGCACGAAGTCTCAAAGTATGATGGTGACA